GGTGGTTGTTAGGGTGTTATAGATGGTTGCCAGAATATTCTATGTGGTTGCTAGATGGGATATTTTTGGATATTCTGGGTGATTTGCTAGGGCATTAATAGGTGGTTGTGGGTGCTTCTAGAGTGTTGATAGGTGGTTGTTAGAGTGTTGCTAGAATGTTCTGAGTGGTTGTTAGGGTGTGTTACTTGGTTGCTAGGGCATTAATGGGTGGTTGATGGGTTGTTCATAGGTGTTTTTTAGGATGTTCTGGATGGTTGTTTCGATATTCTGGGTGATTGCTAGGGCATTAATAAGTGGTTGTTAGGGTGCTTCTAGAGTGTTGAAAGGTGGTTGTTAGAGTGTTGCTAGAATGTTCTGAGTGGTTGTTAGGGTGTGTTACATGGTTGCTAGGGCATTAATGGGTAGTTGATGGGTTGTTCATAGGTGGTTTCTAGGGTGTTGATAGGTGGTTTTTAGGATGTTCTGGATGGTTGTTTGGATATTCTGGGTGATTGCTAGGGCATTAATAAGTGGTTGCTAGTGTGTTTTTGGTGGTTGCTTCATTCCTGAATGATTCTGAGTTTTTGAGTAAATCTGTTGAGTGATTCAATGAATTTGTTCCAAAATGAATCCGTATTTTAGAATGAATAGTGATTCATCGAACCAGTTCTTGAGTGAGTCAGTGTTTTTGAATGAATCAGGTGAGTGATTCAATGACTCACTCATAAAAACATCACTTGCTTCATTTCTGAATGGCTCAGTGTTTTTGAGCAAATAGGTTGAGTGATTCAGTGACTCGCTCTTAAAGACTTTCCTGAATGATTCAGTGTATTTGAACAATCGATTAAATGAATGAGTAACGAGTCACTTGTCGACACCAACAGATGTAACAATATAAACTGCAGAAAGATTCATGGTAAAATCCCACCACTAATACACAGACTGACAGTGAAATGTCTGACTGTATAAAAAGAAAAAAGTAGAAAATGTTAGGGAAGTCAAAACTGTATTAAAAGGTTTGTATGAATCACATTTACTGCTTAATCCTAAACTGCTATAACCCTCCACCAAAGTGCAAAACACTTTTAAGTCCCAATAAAGAATCAGGGACACGGTTATTATTCTGTCCTTGCTCATTTCTCCCCTGAGGTCTCTCGATGGCTCCCTCCCACCATTCTTTCCTTTTTGTTTTAGTGGCTTCATTCAGATTCCCGACCACTGTTTCCTGCTCTCAAACAAAGGCTATGGCTCTGTGATATGAGTTGGCCTTCCTGCAACACTCGTGTTCGACCTCCCGGTGAAGGTGTGACCTGCTTGCTAGAGCAAAGATGAGTCAAGGCCTGTTGTTCCCTGTCCATCCCTGCCTTTCTCGCTTTCCTTCACTCTTAATCTGTCTCCGTGGGCTCATGTTGATATGTTTTGACATGCCAAGCACCTGGTTTAAGGATTTGGGATTATTTGTGGGTTCTGTGAAGAGCCACCTAGTCGCTGTCACTCAATCTTTTAAACTTGCCCGTCACGGCTGCCCATCAAGCAGGTGCGTGCGTTTGGAGATGCAGATGCTGGCTTAATTAGACCTGACAGGGCCAGGATGCTCGTCTCAAGCTGTTCTGTTACGAGGAAGAGGATAACAATCAGAATGACAACCGTCTTAATTTTCCATCTTCTCGCTCTCTCTCCTTCTGTCTCTTTTCTTTCGTTCTCTGCATCTGTCCTGTTTCCTCTCTGTCATTGCAAGCTGCTTTTCGCATTTCGCTCTGGATCTGCTGGTCTCACGTCAATTTAAAAGTATTAGCAAGACTTGTAAAAATAGAGATGTGCAATGTATCCACAATCATATTAATATCGGCCAATACAGCCTAAGCATTTTTTAACACAATACAGCCTAAGCATTTTTTAACAGGAGAAGTGTGTCATTTTTTGTATGTTGAAACTTTCCCAAGTTTCCAACTTCATCTCCCAAGTATAAGTCCGGAAAACCGTGAAGGTTGCAACCAAGACATAAACCTGAATTCCTGATCATTTTTAGGAGTAACAGCATACCTCCTCTCAACAAGTCCCACAATCTTCTGTCCACAGCACAGACGTTTAGGGGTTGTTCAAATCACCAACCTTTAATATGAGCAATAGTATCAGTGATGCTCGCACTAATAATGAATTAATAATTATTCCCGGCATTGGTCAAAAATTCTCTACTGGTTCAGTCCTTTTGTGAGAGTATGAGATCTCCCTGCTGTGTTTGCATGTGAGTGTGTGTGCGGCTACACCACATGCTAGTCCTTATGTTGGCCTGAACGTCCTTCTCCATTTCTTCTGTTATTCTGACAGCAACCATTCATCTTTCTTCTATTCATTTCACATATTCATTCATCTATTTCAGAGTAAACTGCCACTTCTCAATGAAGAAATGACTTCATGTATTGCACGAACATTTTTAAACCCTTATACTCGGGCTGCTTTTCTACAGTCACCATTAAAAGCGGCTCCAAGATAAATCACGACATTACAATTGGAAAATAGTATGAGCAAATCGACAGAGATAAAGGTACTGGACGGGGTATTTAATTTCGATTCAACGAAGCATTAAAACTATCAATTTATAGGCATAGAACTAATATATATATATATATATATATATATATATACACACACTTCAATTCAAAAGTTAGGGTTTGGTAAGACTTTATGTTTTTGATCGTATGTTATGTTTTTGAAGTATTGTATATGGACCAAGGCTGCATTTATTTGATAAAAAATACAGTAAAAACAATAATATTCTCAAATATAATTAAAATTTTAAATTGTATTGTCTTTACTGTCACTTCTAATAAATTTATCTCGTATTAACTTCTTAAAAAAATGAATCTTCCTGATCCCAAATGTTTAATTCAAATTCTAAAATGTCAAAATAATCTAAAATATGCAAAGCATTTTAAAAGCGTATGAAGACTAATCCGATTATGACATTTGCAATGCTTCATGAAAGTGGATGATTTTCTATGGAAAAAGCTGAATGGTATTTTTTGACCATTCAGCAATATAAATAGGGCAAAGTCTGATTTGACTTTAATTAAATATGTTTAACGGCAGCCATAAATTTAGTTTAGATTGGTCTGAATAAGAGTATATTTACATAGCCTAACATTATTCATACGGATTTGTAATGACAAGTTATTTAAATAAAATGTAATAACTGAATTTCAAAAGGAATGCAATATCTACTACTAAAGTTAATATTAATCATTACACTGTTAATTAGAACACATGTGATGTCAATTTGCTTCAGTGCATTAAAGCTGCATGCACTAAACTGCAAAACCATCAAAATCAACTCTAACCTATAACCATTTAAGAAAAACAAAAGTATTCCATGCAAGGAAGATCAGACACTGGATACGTCACTTTCCTTCCAGCACCAGAGCTTTTATTTTTCACTCAGTTGTTCCTGGAAAGTCTCAATGAAGTTGGCTTTTCTAGCAGATGTGTGTAATCATATAAACTATAATTGTAAACTTTGCTGAGCCCTGGACACAACCTTCAATCTCTGGAAAATGAAGTGCTGGACATCTGGGTGGACGGGAGCGTGGCTCCGGGCGCTGTAATGACAGAGTTCAGGGATCCGATAAGTGCTTCTGAAAAAAAGCCTTGGTTCCAATTTAGATTGAGTTTTTGTTTTGAAGTGGCCTAGAAGAGAACGGCTGACTGTCACCCTTGCCATTTTCAAACCTTGTGATTTCTAGGAGGGATTTGTGCGTGATTGTTCAATTTTCTCATTTCGGTGGTTCTGCCTTGCTTTTTCCCCTTCTTTTCCTACTGTTTCAGCAGGTTTTTATTCATATTTTCTTGTCTTTCATGCATAATAAATCTCATGTCTCGCACGGTACCATTTTCATAACATCATGTTGGATGCCCCATTTGTCTTTTTTTTTTATTTTTTATGCAAGGTGCCAAAGGAGTGCAAAAACTATTAAAAGGTAGCAAGCAGAACAAGTGTTTTTCATACTATTTTAACACAAAAAGGTATAGTTCAGCATTTACATTGCTGCTCCAAACCTGTATGACTTACTTTCTTCTGAGGAATACAAAAGAAGATATTTTGAAAGACACTGGGGGCAACATTGGACCCCATTAACTTTATAAAAATAAAAAAAAGCCCCTCATATTAATATTCAGTTAGTTGTATTGCAACTAACTGAAAAACGCAAGTTTAAGTACTAAAATTCTTAAAATAAAATAACTATAGCTATACAGAAACATAAAAAGTGAAAAGAATGTAACACTAAAAATTGATTCAAATAAAAATATAAAAATAAAAAAATATAAAGAGAAAATAAAAAAGATCAATAAATACTATAATAGAATAGTATATAAATAATATTAAAATAAACTGGTTTAAAACTGACTGAAGTGAAAAAATGAAATGAGGATCATGTCACTCAGTAGGGACTAGTTAGTTTGGAACCAAATGTTGTTTAAAAAACAAAAACACCATAAATTAAAGAAAAATGTTAGTTTGATCTTACAATACTTCCAGTAATAGGGCTGAATGCATTAACAAATGTAGTCAAAATAAAATAAAATAAAAAAAGTACATGAAATGGGATTATTTACCTATCTTGCTGTAGAAAGGGTGCAAGTGATGCCACTTCCTGTATGTGGAAATTTTATAGGATGTTCCATTTTGTAATAAAACAAAATGCAGTAGCTCACAAAATATGGCATTAGGTTTGTAGTATTAAAGACAAAAAAATATCCAGAATTATAATGATCACATTATAATAATTATTCCAGTGAGCAGGAAATCAGTGCTGTGCAGTGAGCAGATCCCTGCTGAGTCTGAGCAGATGAACAGATTAGTCGGAGTACTTTAGATCTGGCCCGAAACACAGCGCGAGATGAACCCCGATAATCTGAGCTTTGAATCAGTGCCTGAGAAAGCAGCCAGACCTCAGTCTGTCACTTCCTGTCTGACAGCAGAGAAAGAAAGAAAGAAAGAGAGCAAGACAGCACACAGCACTCACTCGTGAAGGGTCGTACTCCGGTCGTCTTCGGGCACTCAGGTCATCATAGGATGGAGCCGGTCTCACCTGCTGAAGCTGATTCCTGATTTGCTGCAATCGCTCTTCATTACTGCAACACACAGACGGAGAAACAAGACAGATAAGAGACGCTCTCCATTCAAACACTCTGGAAAACATCCTTAACTCTAATCAGGGTTATTATAGTTCACTAAAACTAAGATCATAAAAAACACTTTTTTGTAACTTAAATAAATATATAATTAAATAAAATAAAATAAATTATGAAAAAATAAACTTACTCCGCTACATTCAGCAACATTTCTTATTTTCATTAAGCTTATCGTGTACTACAGACATTAAAAACTAATAAAATTACAAAAATTCAGCATAATTGCTAAAACTAACTAGAATTAACATGCAAATGGAAAATATAATAACAAATAATAAAAACAAAATTTTATCATTTTAAATTAAAATTTTACATTTTAAAAAATTTAATTTTAAAAATCTAAAATATTAAAAGCTATAACAATCTCAATGATTAAAATATTGTAAGATGAAAATTAATCAAATACAAAGTCACAAGATAAGGATATACAACTGCAATCCCTATAAAATATAAAATGTAAACAAACGTATGAATGAAAAGTAAGGGGAAATTTAATAGCAAATATAAGTCACCACAGCATAAACAGTAATCGTTTATACTACAGTAAATCTGTCTCATCTTTTGAAAAGTGTTTTGTTTGAAGAGTGTTTAATATGCAACTCAGGTTGTCAGATTTCTAAATCAAATGCAGCTAAAAAAAACTGCACTTGATGTAAAATTCAGTGCATTAAATTATCCATCTGTAAGCTCCATAAACACACATGTAACCTAAGGGCATGCATTGATTCAGAGCAGAACTAGCATTATAAAATCATCAACATTTAAACAGCTTCAGCTTTTACTTCAACTGAATAGTACAGCACCACTTAACCATACAGAGAGAGAGAGAGAAAAAAAAAAATTCTCTACCAATCAAATTTGCTCTCCACAGCACCATTAACACAAATTTACATATACTTAGAATATGTATCTACATGTGCAATAAAATAAATGAATATTATTGTTTTAATTGCATGTGTAATTCTATCTATCTATCTATATCTGGTGTAATAAAGCTCTTCTGATTCTGATTCTGATTCTGATATATATATACTGTATATATATAATGACATATTCAGTTATAATTATATGTGCAGTTAAAGAAATATATTTAATTACATATGCAATTAAATGAAGTTTATTAGTCATAATAATTACAACTAAACAAATCTGACTTACACTGAACATTTGAATTGACCAGGTAGTGCTATGATAAATGAGCAAGAAACACATAGCTGTACCAAAAGAACATTATACTGATCTTACATAAGTTACAAATGTATAACTTTCTAGAAACTTCTTCCACAGATGTTGCCAACTTCAAAATAATTGAAAATACCAGAGGCAGCGATCTATGGCACTCCAGCAGCTGGGGGAGGACAAGCGGAGCATGGAACAGCATCCATTATCTAATCCCACAGAACGCAATTAGAGCTGCCATTCTGATTGAGAGTCCACATGACCCTCTGAATGAGAAACACTATCAATGTTTAATTAGCTCCCGTCGAGCATGTATGCATCATATTCATATTAGTTACAGGACTGGAGCCGACCTGAAGTGCTTTAGAGGGACTGGCTGGAGAAACACAGGGAAACAGAATACAGTGCAAAAAAATACCACACATTTACATGGATGGTTACACACACACACACACACACACACACACACACACAAATGAGAGAGCGGCTGAAGAGCGGCTGTCATCGCCAGTTCATTTAGTGTATTATGATAGCAAGCAAAGCCGGAGATATTACCTTTCCCTCTCTGAGACAGAGAATTAGACAAACAGGGCAATCTGAGATCATCAGCACAGACCGTGGCTGTTTCCTGCTGTGATTTACCCGTTTATGTTACATCTGAGTAAAGCTAATTAGTGCTCGTGCTGAGCAACAGAATGCAGTGTTAACTGAGCATGTGTGAGCTCTAGTCATGAATGTGAGACATGTTTGCCGTCCCATTTTGTCTAAATCACTCACCAGGTTTCTGACCCTCTTCACACCAAATTTGGTAAGAAAATCTATTATTTAATTTTATTTAATTTTATTATTTAATTTTATTTAATTTTATAATTTTATAATTTTATTTTTATTTTATTTATATATTTAATTTAATTTAATTTCACTTGACTTTACTTTATAGTTTTAATTTAATTTAATTTATACATATGTGAGTGTCTGGATGTGGATTTTCTTGATTGCCATCTTTTCCAGCTGGACGCCACCACACAGGCCAGTAATCAGAAATGACAGCCTTTTCTAAACACCTGCCACTGAGGTCTTAATGAATATGTACGCAGTCTTGCTCTGTCTTGATAGGGCTGTCAGGGATGTGTGTGGCCACAAGATCACCACAGGAAATGCTCATGGAAATGAGATACAAAGAGCTTTTCATTCATTCCTTTGATTGATTGGATACACATCTTGAAAATATAGTTGGAGGGTTAGGATTATGGTTAAAATATTGTCACACTTTAGTTGTCCCCTTACACCATTTTAGGCCATAATACCAGTAGTAATCTTTGTTATTACTACTAATTTTTTTCATATACCTTTTAACACTACTAATATTTCCACTACTACTACTACAATATTACAATTATTATTAATAATAATAATAACAATAATAATAATGATACCACCACTATATTTTAAACTACATTTTCATAAGAAACATATCAATCGTTCAAAGCCAAAATGTCAATAGTCATATCCATTGACTAATAAAATATTATTTTATTTTATATATATATATACACACACACACACACACACATCACATCACATACACACATCATAATTTTATATAATATTTTATTATTAGTATAATAATAATAATAATAATAATGTGTATTATTATTATTATTATTATTATTATTATTTACCACTACTACTACATTTTTAAAGTTCATTTTCATCGGAAACTTATGAAAACTTCAAAGCAATTTAGTCATAGCCACTGACTAATAAAATAAAATACAATTGCATATCTGTATTTTTTTTCATTGTAAAAATATATCATATCATAGTTATAATAACATAAAATAAAAAAATTAAGTAAAATATGCCTGTAATAATTAACATTTTCCATGTAGGAATTATGATGTTGTGGGTGAAACTCTAGTTACCATGGTAGAAGAAATGCTGAAGTTGGACAGTATTCTAACCCTTTTTTGTTAGGGTTACGCCTTACTTCCTGACCACTAATTTGACGGGAAGATGTAGATATATACAAGCAAAATGGCTACAGATCCATCTTAACAGTATTTACTGCTCCAGCGTGATGGAGAACAACGCAGAATTGGAGGAAAGGCGTTAAGAAACAGCAGTTTCTTCAAAGAATTAGAGTTGGCCACAGTACACGGCTGGTGGGCCATTAGTTCGATTAAGCCCATTCCTCAGCGCTGGATGCTGTCCAAATATCTGGAGCCAGCTTTGTTGGCCGCCACTGACTCTGTGTCAGCATTTCTGCTGAAAAATGGCCGTGCGGCACTCAAACTCTCCTAAACAAGGAAAGCGAGGCTCTATTTTCCATGTTTGATCAGCACTAACATTTATTAGTCACATCTATTATGCACAAAATGCCAGCAAGAACAAAGGGCTGTTAGGAGCAGTCAGGCGACACGCGAGAGAGAGGATGGTAATTAAGTACCCTGCTAAAGTAGATGAGACATCAGCACTTGGAGAACGCCAGACAGTGAGATGAGGAGGGGGGCTTCGCGTATCTGTCTGGCTGTTACTTTGTGGTTAATTGACCGTCTCTTTCCCGCTATCTTTCTCTCTTATTTGCTCTCTGACATGAAAATCAAGACTAGTGCGCACACACACTCGACCGATGTTTTCTATTCATAGGTCCACTTCAGACCAGACATTTCTCACACTTTCTTCTTTAACAGCACCCAGTGTAACTTGCTGTAACATACTGTCACATTAGTATACTTGAGCGAGTCCTTCATGTTAGATGCTCAAGAAGGACATTTTCTTTTTTTCCCCCCCCTAAGAAATCCATTTTAATAGCAGTAATAATTATAAATCATTTTAAGGGCATCCCAATCAGAAAGCAATGCACCTATAATTAAAATAAAATAAAATAAAACATAGATAGCAGAACTGTAGTACATTTTATTTATGAAAATAAGATAAAAAATACATTTGAATAATAATAGTAATAATAATAATAATAATAATAAAAATAATAACAATAATTATATAATAACATCATCTCTTATCATCTAATAAGAGAAGATGTTAACCCCTCAGAGGACCTCAGATGATGCTAACCCTGGAACAACATATAAAACTACCAAATTTTGCTTAATCGCAATGTTTAATCGTAATCGCAAAGTTTAATCGCAACATACAATCGTTGCAGTTAATGGTGTTCACCGTCCGTTTGATTACGTGTAATTTGTAACTAACTGCATGATTCTTACTGTACATTTCTGCCTAAATATAATGTAGAAACTTCACATTTTCTGTAAAGCTGCTTTGCAACGATTTGTATCGTGAAAAGCGCTATAGAAATAAACTTGAATTGAATTAAAATAAAATAAAAAAAACATTTTTATCGTTAAGCTATGTAACTAATAAAATACACATTTTTGATTGACATCCTGTAATATTCTATGATTGCCAGTAGTAACAATATCTGTAGGAACTATGGTTTGTGGTGGAAACTTTGGTTTACCATATTATCTATGGCTCATAAAAGTCATTTATTTCAAAATTGAACATCACGAAAATCATTCAGCTTATGGTATTAAAAAAAGAAAAGAAAGAAAAGGAAAAAAAATACAACTGGTTCTATAAGACGCGGTTGTGAATTCCCCGAACATTATGAAAATGTATGTTTCTTTTACTGTATGTTATGATGTATAGGAGAAAGCCCTTGCAAAAAGTTTCACGGCAATCATATTTTTCTGCCTAAATACTAAAGTTACAGCAGTTCATATAATAATACGTCTGTGGATCTAGTTGGTTTTAGTCACCAGTTTCATCAAAAAAAGAAACTCTCTTACACGGTTTGAATCATTTCTCAGGATTTTTACTACTGTAGTAGCTATAGTATTTGGTCTGAAACTTTGGTTCCCATGGTGAATTTTTGTACGGAACAAACAGGAAATGGAGAAGGTATCCGAGCGAGTCTGTGTGCTTGTGTGTGTGTGATGGGATTACAGCTCTTCTGAGCTCGGTGGACAGCACAACGCATGGAAGATAATCTTGTGCGAATCGATGGTAGGACGAGAGCAAGAATGAACACGGTCCCCACGGACACTGCAACACTCACGCATAATTACCGCCAGACAACAAATCAATGCTCTCGGTCGTTGGGACCACTCAACCCGGACTAAAAACTCACCAGTGAGACGTACAGTCCCTCTGTATTTATACAGACTGTACAACTACACAGTAAATCACAAATGACTTCACAGACCTGTCTGTCAATATTTCAGCTTGATTCCACTAAAAGGCCAAAGCGTTCGTTACCGACGTGCCTGGATTTTTGGTATGTTGCATGTAGAGTGCCAAAGCCAAATGTTTTCTGCCTTTGATATCACCTTCAACAAGTACTATAACTTCAATTGATTTACTTTTACAGTGTGACTACCATGAGGAGTTTGTGAGTTAAGGAATGCATTATTATTATTATATAATCGGTTTGATCAATAATAATGATAGTAATAAAAAACTAAATAAAATAAAAACATTGTACAGTAGTATTATACTACAACAGTAAAAAAAATATATGTATTATGAATATTGAATAATAATAACAATAATAATAATAATTCAAAATATTATACAATTTATTATTTTACATAATATTTTTTTACAAATATAATAATAATAATAATAAACAGTAAAACAACAACAACAATAATAATTTAAATATATTATTATTGTTGTTGTTTTACTGTTTATTATGTGTGTTTACTGTTGTAGTAAAACTGTCTTATTATTATTTAATTAAATGAATATGTCAAAAAGCAGAGATAAAACAATTGAAAAAATTGTTCTGCTACTGGTAATTGTAAACATAATCAGTATTGGTCAAAACAAAACAAAACAAAACAAAATTTGGCATTTCATGCAAGGTATCCATAAAAAAGGATGGACTGGATCTCACCTGTCAGTCTTTGGAGGGGCGGTTCTTTGCTTGTTAACTTTTGCATAAAGCCCCTCTAGCACATCCTCATTGGGCAGCTCTCTGTTGGGGGCGGGGACTGTAGGCTGAGCGCAGTTATGGGTGGGAGTTCCAGGTGGATAGGGGGAGTGACTGGAGGCGGGAGGCTCTCTGAAATTGTTGATGCGAGCATAGTTGGGATCCAGGTCATCGTCTTCGACGTCCGGGAAGATGGCGCGGTCAGGAGCAGGGCTGTTCCTTTCACTTCTGTGGAATTAAAAACATGTTCTTCAGGATATCTTGGATGAATAAGCACATAAGCTTGGAGCGTTTGTTGGACAGAGATGTGTTAGATCCGTTAGATCCATTTTCTAGGGCAGAAATAGCTGGGTCATTATTGACTGAAAAAAATTTTGGTCATACAGCGGTGTGTTATTTTTGCAAACCCTTGCTATTTTTCACTACATGCTTGCAATACACCATTCCCATTGAAATCAATGAATTTACAGTGAATTTACTCTAAAGCAGGTTTCCTTAACCTGTTCCCGGAGCCACATTTTTCTCATTTTCCAACTCTTCCTAATCAAATGCACCTGCATTTAACTCATCAGCTTGTTAGTAAAGACTCCAAGACCTAAAATGAATACATCAGATGAGGGAGACATTCAAAATGTGTACTGTTGGTGTGGGTTGGAAAATACTGCTCTAATATAATATAAACTCTAACATCATATAAACAGAGTAAGTCAGAAATATCTTATATACAGAAGTATTGAATAGAGTCTAAGATTTAATTATGAAATCAAAAGTCCAAATTATGACAAGTAAACATTCTGAAATACCATGTCATAACTTTGATATAAAAAAGTCAAAATTATAACATAAGTCCTAACTTCGAGATTAAATGTTCAAATTGGCATACTTAATCATAATAATGACAAAAATTTTGAAATAATGACAAAACATTTCCACTTTTTATCTCATATTTCCTACTTTGTATGTCTTTTTTTATCTCGTAATGACTTCTCATGATTATGAATTAGTGAGTTATTATTAGTTTTATTTATTAATTGTGGAAGGGTTAAACACCCAAAAACAAATAATGTAAAGACATAAGATTGAGCTTTAATGTGTTTATAAGACAACAACCAATTAAACCAATGGGGCAATTATCAAGTGTTCAGAACTCGTTTGATCATTTCCACAGATTCAGATTGGTAAATTGGCATATTTTTCTATTTTATAATTGAACTTTGTGGATTCAATAATACACATTACATGAGTGGTAAACGTACTTGGACATAAACATCTCAGGTTCACTCTTGTCCACCTCTTCTTCGCTCAAAGCGCCCAGTTCTTTAGCCTTGGATTTGTGTTTTCTCCCAAACCTTGATGAGTTTGAAGATAGCAAGAGTAGAAAAAAAAAGAAAGAGCATGGGCAAAGAGAGAAAAGGGGAGGATGTGTTATGTTTTCATACATGGTGACTCAACAGTCTCCCTGCACTTCCAAGTACCAAAGCAGAATTTGCTGTAGAAACTCTAATGATTGGTTCCCCATGTACCAGCCTGCAAACACACACACACACGCCTGCAAAACCAAGCAGTATCAGTGTCCAACGCCCTGCAGTGATTTTACTAGCCCATCTCCACGCCAAACCTTCAGAAACTCACATATTCTTCTGCACTGATCTGAGGTCAGGCGGGGTCTCCATGCTGACAGGCAGACAAAGACAGAAGAGGAAAAGGTTATATAAAGAATAAAGCTAATAATGAGAGAGAGTGGGTGAGATGATCACATGATTTCTGGACAGTGAGGCCGTAATGAAACATCAGTGTCAGCTGTAAAAAGAAGCAGCTTCTGGTTCACTACATGGGTGATCAATATGAAATCCAAATAATCAAATGATACATAACCCAACAAGATACCAAGCATTCACAGTTGGATGTGATGAGTGAATCTCACAAAGAAATCAAATTTCTAAAAAACAAATAAATAAATAAATAATAATA